GGAAGGGGCCGAGGGGCGGTGGGAAGGCCGCGGGTGGCCGCCCCGCGGAGCCGGACCTCGACCCCCGCCGCAGGGGCGCAGGCGGCAGAGATGGTTTCTCCCCCGGCCCGGTACCTAGTGTTGTTTCAGTACCTGGGCAGTAGGTATAGGTAGGTGCCTCAGCCGCCCCGCCAGCCGTGTGCGGCGGAGGGAAACCGGCCCTGAGGGGCGTTCGCCAGGGGTGGGGACGGGAGAGCCACGAGGAGGCGGCTGAGGGGAGGGATGGGCCAGTGCGGTGGTTTGGGGAGGGGAAAAACCCCTTGAAGAGTAGGTGAGAGCGGGCAGGGAGCTGGGCTCTGCTTGCTTGTTGTGTAGAAGCGATAGGAAGGGGACGGTTCGGGCAGGAGATGCATGAAATGGGCAGAGAGAAAGCCAAGGAGGGGGAAGGCGGCGAGCTTGTGGTCTGGGGCCGGAGGGGAGCAGGCCCTGTGTCCCTGCAGCCGTGGTACCTGCGCTGCTGGAGGGAGGAAGGCAGAGTGGGCTGTGGGCTGAGCCCTGCATGACAGTAGCTGAAGTTGGGTTTCCCCAGGCCTTAAACACCCCACATGTGTAGCTCTGCTTGTTTACATTAAAAAGAAAGTGTGTGGGAGAATTTGTACGGCTCCAGCTCCTGGAATTGTGCCTATCTTCGTGAGGCTTTTACAGAATAAAACCATCGTATGCCGAAGCGCACAGTTCTGCAGTGCACGGGCTGTGTCGCTGTGGGTACTGACCTCAATTACTCTGAGTAGTTACTGCTAGGTTGGGTTTAGCCTTGGGATATATCTCTCAGAACTTCGTCAGCATTTGTGAATGGCTGTGACTTCTGTAGTAGGAAGCTCGTCACAAACCATCTTCATGAACTTTTAGTCCCTTCATGACCTCCACAGGGCCTGGAAGAAAGGGGCCTGCAACTGGCAACCAATTTCTGGCCCTGAAATAGTTTCTTCTGCAAACTCTTTTCTAGTGTAATTTGTGTGCCTTACCTTCTCATCAGCCCCCACCTGAAGGGCTAGCCCAGAGAGAAACATTTGAAGGATGTTTTTTATTTCCAGCCTCCTTTCTTGTAAATAACCACTGCATCTGTTTTCCTGTACATTCATCAAAGTGTTTGGTCCCTACAAATTCTCTAAAAAGATTCAGGTTGCTCAATAGCTGGCCATTTGATGACTGTCCCCCATTAACGTCTGGCTGTTTTGGTGGACTCTGTGTCAAGTCCTTGGGTCTTGACACATCAATAACTATTGTATTTGTTTTGCCCTGCAGTGGAGTTATGGAGACTTCGAATGATCAGTCAGTGATTGGAGTCCAGAATTATTTGGAGGTAGGTCCTTGCTAATCATAGTCATTAAAACAGAACTTCAAGAGTCACATTGTTGAGCTACAGATATTATCAAGGATAAATAATATTTTTAGATTGACAATAAAAGACACTTGCACATACACTATAATGTTCAGTCAAAGTGCTTTAGAAATTATATCAGTATACAGGTGGAAGAAATAGATCCGGGTGAGGTCGGAGACATTGAGATCGTGATCCTGAAAAAGATGTGAACCCTCTAATGAGACTTGAAAGTGGGGTGTCTGAGTTCAGAACTATGATTCTGAGAGCCTCAACTCAGGTGCTGTCCCACATGAAGGTACTTAAGCAGGTGAGCTTCATTACACTTACGGCTTTGCCTCCACTCATTCTTAGAACTGCCTCTGCTCTGAGCAGGCTTAGCTGCTTTGCTTCTAGTTCACGTCTAAGTCTGTTATAGATTTAGAAACTAGATGCTGCACTCTCTGGGGAGAGCATGCCTCTGATAGACATTTTTGGAACAAAGCACAGCAGGATATCCATTGTTCCAGAAAAAAAAACCAAACCAGTGCTTAGTTTCCATTCTTCTGGAGTTGTTCTAATATGCTGGGGAAAAAAAGGTATGAGCCTGTTGTCACTGTTGTTCTTGTGCTGCCCCAGAACATTTCCCATAAGGATAAGAATATAAGGATGGCTTTTAGGACCCAATTGTTGTTTGGGCTTGGAGTGAGTGCGCAACAGGAATGCAAAAGGCCCACTATTAGACCAGCGAGTAGAAAGTGGGTCACTTGCATAGAGGAAATGCTTAGCACACCTGGATGTTTGTGTAACCCAATTGTAGTTTAATTACAAGCTGCTGTTGAGCTGCACGTTTGAGCAGTGCTGGTGAATCCCATGTTCCTGTGGAGGGCAGGACTTGAAAGGAAGCTATGTCATTTTTGTCTTTTAGAAGCATCGTGTAATAGTTCAAAATGCCCGTCTAGGAGATAAGAGATTGTTGAAGAGATTGAAACCGCTGTAAGTCAGCTCACACCTTTGTATTAATAGCCAGCCGCCTTGTTACTCATCTCTCATTTTTGGGCTGTTTAACCTGAGGTCACCAACCGTGGCAGTTTGAAGGTGGTGTGCCCACCGTGCTTGTTTGTGATAGCCTGTGCTCTGCCTCAATTAGTTACATTAGCTGAACTAGATCTCGGGAAGGACAAGAGCTGGTCCGGGAGCTGTCGCACCCAGCCACGCTGTGACCACGGCCAAGACGTTTCCACGCTGTGTCTTGGTTTACTGAGGAGGGTGATTAGTTCCTGTGTGCTCTCGCGAAGGAGGCCGCAGAAGGAAACCGTGATGAATTATGGTTTGAATAAGAGTTCTCAGGGTGTATTTGTATGGCTTCTTGCCTGACACCATTGTGGAGAAAGTGTATAAATATTGCGCAGATCTTGAAAGAAGAGCCCCAAAGGACTTTCTATCTCATTTATCTAATCCTCTGAACCATCCATGTCTCAGCCCCAGGCGCCGGACTTTGGGTGAGCCCAGCAGTTGTTTTGCATTATCCAAGGAACTTTGTTTTAACAGGCGAATGGGTAGGATGGGTGATTAAAGGAGAAAAGAAGAAGAAAAAAAGAAAAAGATAAACTTATTTGGTGTTGTCTTTTCTCAGTATCAGCACTTTGCAGGCCAGTTCTGGGATATGTGCTTTGCTTTCATGTGGTGGTATTGATGCTGGGCACTGCTGAGCAGGGCTGTGTCTATTAGAACCACATGGGAAGTCTTAAAGCAGCTTTAATAGAAAACTTCTGGGGCCTGTAGGAATTTATCTTCCTTCCTCCATTTCTGTACAGCCTTGAACTTCGCAACTTTCCAAAGCCAGGAAGGCAACTGAAGGGAAGGGCAAAATTAAATCTGTAATGAGATCCTTATTGTATGCTAAATATGTTCAGACATTTGTTTGCCGTTACAGGCAAGCGGATGACCTGGGAGGTTTAGACCTTGTGTTTCAACAGCTGTGTAATGGACTGGTTTGTGAGTGTGTACTGCAGCCTGCTGTGTGATAAAAGGTGAAAGTGCTGGACTGGGGCTGGGCAGAAGGCCTGTCTGAAACCCCTTGTCCCTGTAAAGCACTGTGTCACCCAGGACATGGAAGCTTTTGTTGTCCTCAGTACTGCTATGTAGCAGAGCCCTGGGACCGTCTGGAGGAAATGGAGACTTGTTTTAGTTGGGGGACGGATGTAGATATTTGAAGGAGCTTTTAATATATCTTTGAGGGGGGTGGGCTTTGCAGGCAACACCTAACTTTTTCTTTGGAGACAATGTATTTGTCTTGAAGCACTTGGAAGCCCAGCTTGCCAGTGATGGGTCCAGAACAAAATTCCAGACCTGGGTTGCCCAGATGGGGAAGTTTGAGTCCTGTGACTTGGCTTCCCTCCAGTTCCATGTGAAAACTTAACCAGATGCAGGACTTCATCCTCTCGTCTGCATTCTTACGAATGTCCCTCCCGTGGAGGGAGGAAGGTCTCCTGTGTAGCACCTTTTGCTAAAGTGAGTGGCTGTTGCTTGTGCTAACAGGCACCCTATGCAAGGCCTGTTAGGACCTACAGAATTTAAGTTCCCTTTCATGTTTGGCTTGAACCATGTCCTGAGCGTGCTGTTTCCCATTGTGCTGGTGAATGCTGCCCAAAACTAATCTTCCCCACACGAAGCTCTGTTTTGGCCAGCAGCCTTGTGCTAAGGCCAGATATTATTCCTCATGAAAGGAAAAGGGGAAGTAGAAGAGCAGAGCAAGAGAACATACACAAACTCCTTACTATGCAAGGCAGCTTTGATACAACCTCCTGCTCTTGTCCGCACCCCCCCAAAGAAAAGGAAGAAAGGAAAACGGACCAAGAGAAATGTCATCTTCAATCTCTGTTTGGATAATAATTTCAGTAGCACGAGAGACTGCTTTGGAAACCCTTTCCTTTAGCAGAAGCCACTTTCTCAGCTTTTTCTTTCGGGCTTTCACTTCAACTTTTATCTATTCCACTAAAAATGAGTAAGATTTTTAATTAGTTTCAGTTGACATAGCACCCATTGAGCCAGTGAGGCTGCGATGACTTGCAACCAGAAGCTTGCATGTTATTATTTATTAGAGCACAGCAAATTATAAATTGTGCAGCATCCCAGGCAACACAGTACGATCCCTCGTGTCTGTGCAACTAACACCATTGTGCATGATGAAACCAGTAAGCAATCCAGCTGCTGTGAAAGAGAAATACACTTATTTTTCCCAAAACATTCCTCATGCACAGTTTCTCTTGAACGCACCTATCCACACTTGATTTTGCGAGTTCCTAGATGCCCTGTCGAGGTAGATGGCTGAGTATCTTGAGGATTTTTTTATTTAGGCTTCAAGGAGAGAAGCGGATGAACTTTTGCTTCCTCCATAGGTGGTATACATTAATGGGCCTCTTCATCTTGCCTCTCCAGCATTTGTACAGAGTGAGAACTGAGCTGTGAGTAATAATAGCAATCTGGAATGTGGATCCATATCACTCTGGCACACAACAGTGGAAATTTCTGCATAATTCAAAATATGGTAGTGAATGAAACCTGTTAGCAGAACAGACCTGCTAAATGCAAGTAATACTTTCCCCTGCATGGCTGGTATGCGGGGTGTTAGAGGTATGAACTAACACCCTGGGGTGCTTGTTGCTGCTCAAAGAATATGGTCATCTGAAAAGACTAGGACTTGGGAAGTGAAGGCTAGATGAAAATGGGTGAGATCTGGTTCAGTGAAAGGCCTCCAGCAGGTGCCAAGCCAAGATTTCAGTGTTTGTAATGAAGGATATTTGCGTGCTCTGTGGCTTAACGAAGGGAGCAGAGACCTGTGAGCTCTGAGCACGAGGGAGGACAACCCAGCTCCTTTACTCCTGGATCTTCTCTGTTGCTTTTTAGCTGAGTGCCCAGGGGTAAAGTGCTTCTGCCTCAGTTTTCCCCCATAGGATGATACCCAACAGGGTAGGGATCTGGATTAATAGCAGTTAAGCCGTTTGGGCTCCTTAGATGAAAGACCTGCTTATTTTAGGGACTTGTTTTTTCTGAAAGGGCAGGAAAAACTGGTTGCTATCCAAGCAGTTACTAAATGTAAATAATGCACCTTTTTTGAAATTCAGTGTGGGTGATATTAACAGATTAAAGTATACAGGCACCAGAAGAGGAAACTCTCAGCTGCCTACAGGCTCGAAGGATGTCTGAATGGTGCAGATAGGAGACATTTGCATAGGTGAAGGGGTCATTCCTGAACTGCCTGTGAAGAAGTTCAGCTTTTCAGAAATTTTTTCTTTAAGGAGATTAATTAGGATGTGGGGTATAAATGAAATATTAAAACTGGAAGCAGCAGTTGATCGTATATTATCAACTGTGTGCCTGTTAGGCTGGAGGAAGAATCGACAAACAAAGCTTTCAGCTTTCAAAAGTGAGATTTGTTGTTGATGGTGGTCACATTCCTCCTTGGATGTCCAGCACATACATCCTTCGATCATTTCTCCAGAGAGGTGTGCCTGGGAGAAAATGGTGCTGGAGAAGGGCAGCTGTGAAAATACCCTTTGTTGAACCTGTCATTCAGTCCTGCACCTTTGTGGATTCATTGGCTCACCTGAGCAGGGGATGCAATCAGATTTGCCTTGGAATCTGCAATCCTCTCTTCCTCTCCAGTCTGCCCTCCAACAGGGCTCAACTCCTGCTGGCAGAGGAGAAGAGATCCAAACAGTGATTTCTCATCATCCAGCTTTGTTAAGATGCAGTGAGTGAAATGGGATGCAGTGTGGGATCCAGAGGAGTGCTGCATCCAAACTTCTCCAAGCCCATAGCAAGAAAGGAGTATTTTTTTCATGTTCTCTCCTGTTCTCCCTCTTCCCCCCTCAGCTGTGTTCCCACTGGCTGGATTTTGCCTGGTGAGAAAGGAGCGGAAGAAGAGGTTGGAGGAAGGGAGTAGCCTGCAAAAGCCAAACCTATCTTTGCAGAAACTTCGCTCTTAAAATGCAGCTTCAGCTTTAAGACAAATTGCTGAGGCACAAGCCAAGGTCTACTGCAGAAAGCTATTTAATTTCTGTCTGCTTCTTTCTGCTTAAGGGTGATAAATAAAGATTTTCATTGTTAATTGTAACCACATGTGAACTCCAGATAGAAGGATTAGGAAGGGGAAAAGGCTAGGGTCATTTTTGTTCTGTTTCCCAAGCCTTCCCCTACAGCTTGGTTACGTTTTTTCCTTGCTTCCCTGTGCATTTTGACAGTACATTTCTGAGAGCCCAGGATCCTGTCTGCTCAAATAGTACAAGTCTGGAAGGTATTTGTGAGTCAGCAGTTCAAACTTTATTGACTCTTGGTACCAAATTAAAATATAATAAAAACCGCTGCTGGGTTTACTACGCAGAAGTGGAGATGGGAAAGAGAAGGAAATTTCTAGTTATTCATCTGGTTTTCTGCTTTGTTGTTGTTTTCCAGTCTTTCAGATATGCTTCACTCATCCCCTGTAACAAATTACATTGGATTCTTTTGTCTAAAGGCCTGTCCTCACAAAGAAAAAGTTGTATTTTGCAGTGCTCCAGCAACCTACTTTAAGACCTACTATGATTTTAACATTGCATTAGAAACCTTGGTATTCCAGTAACTTCTTGACCTACCAATGTTTGTCCCTTACCAAAACCCACCCTGGCTTTGCTAAACTTGGGCCAGTCTATTCAGACCCTTAAATATATAGCATCTAATTAACCATGTTAACATCTCTTTTACTCTCTTTCGTGTGTGCATCTCTAATAAAAGACACCAAATTAATGACTCATTTAGCAGGGTTTTATTTACTTTCCCCGCAGGAACCTGTAGTAATTCACCCAGTTGGGTTTCCAGCCCTTTGTTAGTGGGCAGAACGGAAAGGCAGAAACAGGGTGGGGACAAAAGCCAGCTGTGTGGAGAGGAGCAGTTGGGAAAGGGGAACAACAGTCCTAGCTGCAGGTGGATTCTCCAGCAAATCCATGCCAAAATCCATATGCAGAACCTAGAGGATCTCAATTGCTGTCCTTCCCCTTGCGTTAAGAATAGTAAGTTTGAGTTTGCTACAGTAGGGTTTGCTAACTAATTTTTAAAGTACATCTCGGCTGCAGAGTAATTTTAGGGCCTTTTGGCTCTGAGAAGCTTGAACTTGACTGTAAAACTTGAACGCTGTGATGATGTAAATAATGTTTGTCGTTTTCTGCTTTAGTCTTGCTATGGCAGAGGTCTTAGCGTGAGACATTCTCTGAATATTAAGGCAACTCTAGCTCCTGAAGAAAACAGTCTCTCAAGAATTAGCCAAGTTCTGCATTAATGCAGCTGTGGAAGAAGCAAATGTAAGGAGATCTCATCTCCTGGCTCTCGGTGGCGTGTGTTTGTCCTGTGGTTGTCTGTACCTGCTGGGATAGCTCAGTGTCAGCTCCTCAACTACTGGTGTGTTTTATGAGAACTGTGTCTTGATTCTTAGATCCATTTATATTTCTCAGGGGGGACTAATAAATGCATTACATCAGTGCAGTGCTGCTACCCGTCTGGTCCCCTGGCTCCTCCTCTGCTCTCAACAATTAGTGGAAGCTTGTTGCCCTCTGTAGCCCTGCTCCCATTGTGGATGGAAAACAGCTTCCGCCTTTAGCAAGAAGCTGCAGGATTTTACACCGTTCTGGCCTGCACTGGAAGCAAAGGATGCAGCCTGATGTCATACAGACATCCTTGCGTGCTGTTTCCATCCCTTTAAGGCTTGGGTTCTGCAGCTCTTTAAGAGCTGCTGAAGTAATGGAGTCCAGTTCTTAGCAGTAAATTGCAGTGTCTGGTTTAAATGGGTAATTCTCTGTCCTCTTTCCCACTCACTCGATGATAAAAAACAAAGGATAAGGACATGAATTTTATTTTTACTTTGTTATGTACATGTTAGGAGGCTCACATGGCGTTTTGGATGTTCTGTTTGAGATAGTTTCAGGACAAAAAGTGGGAAGCCACTGTCCCCCCACACAGTCCTCCCCATCCCTTTCTTTGCAGCCCACAGTAAAACTCCCAATTATTTCTTTGTATGAGCAATAAGGAAACCTGTGGTTAGCAAGGAGGAGGATGTTTTTTCCTAGCTAGCTCAAAGTGAGTTCGCTGTTCATGATTCCATCTTGTGTTGGCTTTCAGAAGGCAGCGCAGAACCTAAAGCCCATTGTTCCCATCAAGTTCCACATCTCCAGCCGGACGGATACCGGTGTCCACGCACTCTGCAACTCCGCTCACCTTGACATCCAGAGGCCACCAGGGAAGCCAGCTTTTAATGAGAAACAGCTCATCTGCAGTCTTAATTACCACCTGAGGCCTGAGCCAATCCGGTGAGTTTGGTGACAAGTCGATATCTTTTATTTTGCCCATGTTGGAGAGTAGAGACAATGCAGCAGTGATGTCCCATCATCACCCACAAGATATACTTTCCCCCGTTGTACGTGTTGGCAAACCACTCCCCTGCATGTGTGTTTCTGCTACTACCTGACACGTTAAAGATGAGTCTTGTTGCACCATTGTTGTTGTTAGGAGATCTGTGCTGGTACCCCTAAAACAAGAGGAGTTGTGAGACTGGCGTCACCGTGTAAGTACTGAATCCTCTGGGATGACTAGTTTCACACGTGAGCCAGAGTATAATTTTCACTTCTGCTTTATTCCCCAAATTCCCTGTCTTTCTTTCTTTATTGAATTAGCAAAACCTTGTCTGCAGTATTGCCTCTCACCTATAACTATGCAAAAAGATGAAGAACAAGCAAACAAAATTTCTGTTAGTGTTAGCATGGTCAACTCCTCCCTTCCCGTATGATCCAGCCTCCTTTCTTCCCTGCCAGACCAAGGCTACCACTTGACATGGTTTAGAGAAGTTACATCAGAAGCCTCAATTTAATATTTTTGTAGCAAGATTTGTTACTTTACTCAATGGGATAGATCAAGTCCTTTCCATACTCTACCAGACTGCTAATGATTAGGGAGAGTTGCATATAAATGTAGCGAGGAACTTGATACAGCAATCTACAGAGAGCAGAACAGCCATTTCTTCTCCCTACTTCCTCCTTGTTAGTTACTACTTCTTGCAGAATTTCAGAGTGGGCTTATTTTGCATGTGAGTTAGGTCTGAATGCCCACCCTCAAAGTCAGAAAAAAATTATCATTAAACCAACAGTTTCTGTTAGGAATTTACATCAATTACATAAGTAATTACTATACCCTGTGATTTCTTCAAAAGATGGATTGAATTTCATGTCCTTTGCTTTTCTTCCCAAGCTGTTGTGCAGTTTCTGTCAGCTGTCAAACAGTTTCTGTATTCTTCTCCAGACATGGGTGCGTTTTTATGGTTAAAGTGTAAATTGAATGAAACATTGGGGTTTTTAGATTAAAAGCCAAATCTGTGCTACGTCACAGAACCAACATGCCATTTGCCAGCAGCTGCTTTGCTGCGCTCTATTCTTTCTTCTGTTCCTTTTGTCTTATTTGCATAAACTAGAAACTCTTCAAGGCACAGACTGTCTTTATCTGTACAGCATTTGGCACAATAGGACTTGAATCTCTGTGCAGCACCCTGCTGAAGAGTGTGTCAAAGCACTTCAGAGTGTTGTGCAAGAAGATAGGTAATTTATAGGAGGTATTTCCGTGATCAGAAGTTTGATGCAAGACGCCAACTGGTAATTACTCAGAGGCCCAGGTTGCTCTCTTTCATGTTACTGCAGTCTTTCTGATATCTGGTGGCATGAACATAAAGGAGGATTATGGAGTCAAATTCCCCATGCCAGAGCAAGAGCTCAGGACAAAAAAGCATATATGTAGTATACTCCTCCTTCCCACTTCACCCAGTCTGTTTGATTTTCTAATCTCTTCTTTGAGAAACAGAGCCTGACCCAAATGCTGACATAGCAAGGCCTGGGATTTGAGGACTGACATCATAGTTGGATCTCTTCTTGGTTTTGTAAGGGAGGATTCTAGTTCTCCAGGACTTGGGGAACAGTGACTCCAGTTCTAAATGTGCTCAAATAGTTTGGGGTCTCAGGAAGAGATGGGTGATGGTGTTCCTTTTTTTGCAGGGGGTCTTTCATGCGTGTTCCACATGCTGTATAAAGCAAAGAGTGCATTAGTACGAGTTGGCTGAAGCTGTGGCATACTCTGCAGAAAGTCTTGATCTGCAATTCAATCAGCTGTTTTGACTTTTTCAAAGCCTATTGCAAACACCCAAACCTTAAGCAAAGGAAGGAATGCAAGGAAAGCAGTCCCAGGTGACAGACTTCTCTAGCTTTGATTACACTGGTGGCCATTCAGTACCTCTGGAAACCAGGCCCCCAGCAGTAGCTTTCTTGGAGTAACCTTAGTGTTGTTCAGCAGTCCCTGACACAACTTGCTCCAGACCTGTTGACTCTGTGAATCAGGGATGGGCTGGATGGGTCAGCTTCTGGTCCAATGGCTGTTGCCCGACCATGCGCTTTGTCGCTGCAAGGAGCAGTATTAGGTGGAGGGACTCTGCCTCCAGAGTGATGCTATATCATGTCTAGAGGGCGTGTTGATTCCAGGGATCAACTTCCAGCTGATGCTGACAGTCAGGAGTGTGTTGTGAGACAGTGGTGACTTGCTGTTTGCTGCTGTAACGAGGTACCTGGTGACTGGGACCCCACCTATATGCCTTCTGTAGGCCTGTGCCAAAGATGCGTTGAGTGTCTGTAGCTCTCATGGCCTCAGGATTGGGTTTTTGCAGTGTTTCTGGAGTTGTATGTCATTGATGCTTTGCATTTATTTAAATATAGCGGGACCTTTTATCTGTGGGCTCTCAGCTTGGTCACTGACTGGAGCAGAAGCCGCAGCAGCTTGCTTGGAGCCAGCTGCATTCGTTTATCTCCAAACAAGCTCCAGGGGAGCCATCAGAGGGTGAAGAGGAAGAGGAAGTAAAATCCTCGGAATCCAAGCTCAGGAAAAGGCACTGAAAGCATCTTATTACTAGAGGCACATAGTTCCTGTTAGTGGCTGGTTATTACGTTAACTGACTTCTTTCCCTGGATGTTTACTGTTCCTTTGACAGCCCTCAGACAGTTTTGGGAAGAGCACAAGGCCACCCTGCTTTTCCCCTTTGATCCTAACGGTCTTCTGCCTGCCCATGTTAGCTTAGCTGTTGCTGTCCCTCCATGAGACCCTCTTGCAAAGCCTTGGGGTGGGTGAGCTCAGTCTAAGGGCAGTGTGAGATGACTCTTAAGCTGCTTGGGCTTGATACAGAGCGTGGCTGCCATTAGAAATGCATGACTGTCAGTCCCCAGAAATCTGTAAGGGAAATTTCTCTTCCTCCCACACCTTACTTGCGAAAATGTGTTTTAGCAGTTTGCAGGGTTGGTCGAGTCTTTCTCTGAAAGCAAAGGTTTCACAGTGGGTACTGGAAGGAAAAGCAAATACTTGATTTCACTGCTCTTACTCCACAGCCCACGGACAGCCGTCTGGTAGCAAGTCAGATCATGCATCCCAAACCTGAGACTGCATGCTAGCCCAGTAATATTGGATTGACAGTTCTAGCTTACAAATCCAGTTCTTCCATTGGCCTCTTAAAGTAGCAGCTAGATTCCTCCGCAGAGGCCAGAGAGAGGCCAGAACACAAAACATATCTCGCAAGCTAAGCTGTGTGCTTAACATCTGTGAATTACTGTCCCTTGATAGTTTTCACCTTCTTTGACATCTGTGTAAAGAGTCTAACGCAGCTGCTGTGGGATGGGACTGGAGATGATTTCTTTCCAGACTGCTGTGTCAATTTAAAAAAAGATTCTGAAATAGAATTTGACTTATGTGGAGTTTTGGTGGTTATTTTTGCTTGGACTGAAAACTAGGTCAGAACCTATGCACCCTGGAAATCAAATCCTTTCTGGATATTCTAGCAGTAACTGGGAACATGAAGTAGGTCATAGTTTCTATATCCTTCCTTAAAAGGCTAAAGCAGCTGTTTGGGAGTCAAAACTAGCTGATTTTGCAGCCAGAGGGTACCACTGCAATAATCAATCTGTTCTATGTGTCACCAACCACTGAATCTCAGTCTCTCCCCCCTGAGTTTAGGTTTGTAACCTGTGAGCTGTGTTGTCTAGCTTTAATGGACTGAGTCGTCCTAGAGAGCTGAAACCACTGTTGTGACCCTGCCACTTCCAGTACTAGTAGCCATACAGACACACAGTTAGAGCTGGCTTTGTGATGCCTTGACTGATCAGTCCGAGAACGAACAGGATTGCTGCTGAAGAAAGATTTAAGTCAGTGTCTCCCAAAGGAGAGAGCAGCGGGATCTCACAGACGGGAAAAGCTTTTTCTCGCGCTAAGATCTGACGGGTACATATCAGGAGGTGATGTCTTCTGGTAGAATGTAGTACAGTCCTGATCCGTTAGAGTTTGTCAGGGTGCAGTCAGCTCTACTTCTCCTTTCTCCCTTGGACTGAACCTTTTAAAAATGGTTCAGCTGCTTTCCATTAAGGAGCTTGGTGACAGGCATGAGTCTTAAGCGTATTCGGCAACCATCCCTCCCTCTGTAAATATTACTTTGCCAAGAAGAAATCTCTCCTGATGCTGAAGAAAGTCAGCACTTTCATGTGGTTGCAAGCAGGGGGTGATGGAGAGAGGGATCTTTGTGAGAACACATTATTGTCGATAGAGCTTGGAAGGGAAACAAGATTCCAAGCTGGCTGACTATCATCAGCAATAATAACCTTCTTTGTAGCATGATGTGTCTCTTCTATCAACCGATCTGTCTTCTAGATTTGCAAAGCATATTTGAAAGGATCTTGTCCGCAAAGATCAGAGTGTATTTGATAGATGGGGTGACTTTAGAGGACTTTGCTGTGGTAATACAGTACACTCACACCTTCTATTACTGTTTTCAGTTTGGTAGGCACGCAGTAAAAGATGTCTGAGTGACAAGACAGAGGTGGGATTCCTCCCACCTCCTGCAGATCGGCATTTAGTTTCTGTTGTCCATGGAGAGAGAAGGATGTGCTTCTGGAGAATGTCTTGGTATCCAATACACTGCCATTTCTAGGTAGACGTCTTCAGAATTTTTTACCTTCAACCTCCTCTGACATTCAGACTCTGTTGAAAAGGTAAAGAATGCCATGAGTCTTTATTTACCAGCAGTCTTTCAAAAAATGGGATCTTAACCAGGCCTGAAATGCAGCTGCTGGAATAAATGCTGGAAAGACATTCCCAGCTAGAAAGAGCCTGTGATAGCAATTACATCTGCTGGAAGAGGCAGGAAAGGATGCCTGCGCTGAAGAATCACGTGAGCATAAATAGGCTCTTCTGAAAGAATCACTCAATCAGAGGGAATAAAAGGATAGTTATTCAATAAAAATCACTAAGTGTTAACAAGAGAAGCTCAAGATAGATGAAATGCTTGTGGAGGCATGTAGACAGAGGAAGATAAATGTAATAATTATATTATTGTCTTTAGAAGAGGCTGGAGGTCTTAGGTTCAAACTCCCGTGCAGGCCTGGAGGATGTAGTTTGCATTTCTATTAGGAGTTTATAGCAATGGAGCAATCTCCTGGGTTTGTTATTGAAAATATGTGTGGAGGCCTGTGGCACAGCTTTAATTTCTTCTTCTGTGGTCTGAGCCTTTGCAGTCAAGGGATGTGAGCCAGAGGCACTTGAGCTGGCAAAAATCATTGAAGCACCAACCTTTTTTTAAAGTAAATAAATAGGTTTGTCTATTACTGAGTCCCAAATGGTATCATGTTTTTTGGCTGCCCTGCATCCCTTCACTATGCCAAACTCCAAAGACAGAAAGGCACACAGCAGGAGAAAAGCTCCCTTCTAAGGAGAAGGTATCCTCTAAAGTAACACCTGCAGAGAGGTTATGCCTGTGTCGTAGTGACTCCCTGCTGTCTGGTGTGTAGCCAGTACTCTGGGATAAGGGGAAATCAAATCCAGCAAAAACTGCTGCTGACATGTTCAAATCAGTGATAACACTTTGGGGGAGGTGCAGAAACACAGGGAAGCTCTTTTTTCTCCCTTGACAGAGAGAAGGATGTTCCCCTCTTGACAGCCTTTGTACTGTCCCTTCCAGCAACCAAGCTGTCTGTGTTTGATGGTAACGGTGGCATTGGCTTAGAAAAACAAGGCGACTTCTCTCTGTTGCTGATAGAAGAAAACAGGAGTTCAGCTGCCTTCTGGCTGCTTGAGTTAACTGCCCTGAGTCAGTGGAAGATGAGTCGACATGAACATTCCCAAAAGCTGTTTTCTCCACATGTGAAATGCGTGGGTTTCCAGGAGATCTCCTGCATGCAGCATTCTGCTGTTTTCAGATGGACTCAATCTAGGTGGTGGTGGGATGCACCTTTCTTACCGTTGCTGCAGCAAAGTCCTGTTTGTCTTGGAGGCTGTGGGGGTACATGGGAGGGAAGTGACTTAGTTTCAGCTGTCTCCATCTGCTACAATGAGCTGCAAGGCTGCTTTTGAGAGTGAGCACGGAGGTATCTGTTGTCCTTCCCACTTGTGTTTGGGAGCGTGGTTCTGCAAAAGCAGAAGGACGTGGTGTTTGTAAGGTGTGCTCCTCAGATGGGGATGGAGTCAGCTTGTTGAAATTGCTGCCTCTCCCCTTAGGCCTGGCTAGGAGCCCACGTGCCCTCAGCTATACAGTACAATTTGATGGACTGGGTGAGGTGTTTGGCTTCACTATGCAACAAAGAAAACGTACTATCAGTTGCCATTTCTCAACTGAAGGACTGATCCATCTTAGCCTCTTGTGATGGTGTGAGCATCCCCAAACAGGTTGATAGGAGACCCACAGTCATTTTCTCTGTGTATTTGGAGACAGGTGATGCTGAGGCTCTTCTGCCTTCTTTCGGTTGTGGCAGCCCACATGTGAAAATCCTTGGTCACTGGTTAGTGACTGTCAGGAGAGAATGATAATTAATTATAAGTGCAGTTTCTCAAAGAACCCATTGTGTGTTTCAGTTCCCATCTATGTGGTAACCAGGCAAAAGCTTTTGAATTATGACATGGCATTTCTCTCCACCTCACTCGTTGTCTTCTGTCCTAACAGCATTTTGAATGCCTATCGAGTGACCAATAGCTTCCACGCACGTTTCTCTGCGCTGTCAAGAACCTACATTTATCGGGTGTTGATGGGCTGCGCTCATCACTCCGAAGTACCCGTGTTTGAAAAGGATCTCTGCTGGGCTCCTGTGGGTGGGTAAGTGTGTTCCATTAAACCCCACCCCGGGGAGCTACCTCGGCACTCTGGAAAGGCTTGGCTTTTTGGGGGGGAGAAGGGAGGGGGCAGTTTCCACATGTGAGACCAGATTTCCCGTTCGTATTGACAAGATTTCCCTGTTGACATCAGTGCAACTGCACTACGTTCTGTTCATCAAGACCTGAGACTTACAGCTCTCTTTAATGGTGCTGTCAGTTGTACCTGTGATAAATGTGCTTAGCACTGCCAGAATACTCAGTGACTCCAGGGAGGGTCCATCACCAGCTCTGTGTGTCCCTCCCCGTGGAAGTGATGGATGTTTCCTCAGATGACCTTGCCAGTTCGTACAGCAAACCCCTTCGGACAGCTGGCTGAGGGAACAGTGCTCTGATATGACGCAGACAGACAGAATTGCATTGCACAGCAGATCTCGGAGTTTTAGGTGTGACCATGCAGGCAAACAAGAATGACGACTGAGAATTCTTTTTTAATTTTTCCCCCTAGTCCTGTTTCTGATAGTGACTGCATGTAAATCTACTCTCTCATTCCCATTCTGCGTGCCTGTAGGTTTGAATAGCGAGAGCCAATGACTCTGAGCAACCCTACAATAACAAACCAGTGTATCTAGCTCAGTATTCACTTGTGTTCTTGGAGTAGCTGCTGAGTCATAACAAATCAGTGCTTGTATATGCAAGGGAAGAAAAACAAATTCAGTGCCATTTGAATAAAAAACAAAAACCTAGGACATAATAAACAGTGGGTGAGGAAAAAACAAACAAAACCCAGAAGATAATTTGATATTGTCCTTTTAGTTTATATTGTACTGAGATAAACATACATTCAAGAAAACTGGAGTTTTCCACAAGGTTATAGAAAAACAGATTTGTAGCCAGTTGTGGTAATTTCATCACCACTATTGGAATAACAATTGTGGGTAATGGAAAAAAATGTAATCTCAACTGTCCTAGCAGAGGAATAAAGATGACATCGTCCTGACATTAAATTGCCGACTTTCTTTTCTGTGGGCTGTGGAAGGGAAAATAAATACGAAATTGCAAAATTAGATGTTACGTGTGCAGTGTGTCTTAATGTCGGGCTTTTTGAAATAGCATTTAACTTAGTCCAGACACTGCGGTTAATTTTCTCAAATGGCAATACCACATAAAGGATAGGGTGAGCATATTAGAAATTCTGAATGGGAGGTGTCTTATGAAAAGGTGGGATGTTTGGGCTCCCAGGAGTGGAGAAGCTCACAGTGTGTGCACATCTGGTGATAAAACACATAATACACATTAAACTTCTGTAGGCGCTTGAATTACCAGCCAGGTGTCAGTGTGAGCAGGATTCTGTAAGTGCTAGTCATTTTTTCTTGAACACAGTGCAAAAAATTCAATGATTTTGGAAAACCTCATCTTGATTTTTCTTGTTTTCTTCAGAAACATTTTGACTTCTGTTAAGGTCTAAAAAACTTAAGCCATAGATCACACATACTTGCTCAGGATTTTCTTGTGAGAAGTTTACAAAAACAGAATAAAAATAAGCAGCTCTTCAGCAATTATATCAGTAAATCTCTCTAAATTCCTTTGAGAATATTTTGAACAGACCCAGATACTTCAACTGAAGAAATCTGAATGACATTTGACGTTCCGAGTTGTACCCTTGGCCCTTCCTTCTCTATCTCCACCTTGGGTTTACGCTGGCTTCATCTCTGTCAGTTTGCTCACTCATTCCATTTCTGCTACTTCCTCATTTCATCTTCTGGCTGTTGCAAATCCAAGGTTTGGAAAATCATCACAGTGTTTGATATTTTCTTACCTGCCAACACCATTCTCAGTTTATAAGATCCAGATACCGCAAAGGATTTTGGTTCTCTTGCCCTACGCTCTAGCCAGCAATTTGAATGGAGTTATTTGAATTGAACTGTTCTAAGAAGCACAGCAGGATAAAGGTTGTGTAAAAGTGTGTGCTTGCCAACCCCTCATCTAGCCTGGGATTTTGAATACCTTCAGACCTCGGGTCACTTGGCATCTTGGTTTGTGGTTTGGGCCATTACAAGACAAACTTCATCTTGCAAAATGTGTTTCCACAATGCTGAAACGTTGAATCTGCGTGCCAGGTTTCAGCCTCTCGTCAATTAATTGGACTTTGACCTACCTAACGAACTTGGTCCCACCTGATGCTCTTTTCCTTTTGCTCTGCATGTTTAATTTCAGCCAGCTGAATGTGCCTGCCATGCGGGAGGCAGCGCAGTTCCTGCTGGGAACCCACGACTTCAGCACCTTTCGCTCGCTGAACGCCGAAACACCTTTTCATTCTCCAGTCAGGACCATCTTCCAGGTAGACATCCAACCCACTTCTGGCTTCATGTCCCACCACTATGAACAGAGGTGAGTGCCCAGATACGCGGGCGAGGAGCTGCTCTGTGCTTGCTTTGTTTGAAAAGCCGCTTTCCAGCACTTCTTTGAGAGCTGACCTCCTGCTCGCTGTGCGTCGCCTTCGCGGGCCTGTGATGATGTCAGCAGGGTTCTGCCCAGTGACAGCTTAGAAAGGACATTTCTTTCCCTCTCCTCCCCAGTGTCCTCAGGGAGAAAGATGAGCAGCAATGAGGACAGGGAAACTGGTCCAGTTGTTTGTACATTAAAAGGCAGGATGTTATAAACTGGTGTATGGAATCTGGCACAGAGCAATTCCTGTGAGGTGCTTCCAGCATTTACACTCATTTTGGTTGCTGAAGACCAGCTCTGCCAGGGGATGAGATTTTTTTTTTTTTTTTTTCCACTAGAAGGAAAAAAAACCCCACCCAACACCATGGTCACTGCTGTAGCTACGCAGATCTGCTGGGTTCACATCAGTAACTCCTACTGTCTTCCCAGGGGGTGTTGATGACAGAAAGTCCAGTATTCCTCAGTCATTACATAAACAAAAGATTGTTGAGTGTCAGGTTCTTTCAGGACCAGGTCTTTCAAGTATTAAAATTAAGTGGCTGAATATATTCTCTCTGTAGCAGAAACTGAAGTTTTTCCCAGAAAGATCATGGATATTTATCATCTGAACATGGCTTTTGCTTTCACACTGGCTTCTTTCACAGATACGTGGCTGTTGTGTTTCAGCTTGAAAGCAAACCTTGCTGTTGTCTGTCTCCAGACCACATTTTCCTGATTTCTGATTAGGAGAAAACCCATTTTGTAGTTTTCCCCAATGACCCTCCATCAGGTCTGAACCCTTACCGAGCTGTCTGTAACAATAAGTGCCATGCTGTACGCTTTGCCAGTTTGCAAATAGCCCGCTGTTTCTTCACCACATCTTACAACGGTGTGTTTTGCCAGCAGTAGTGTAAGATAAAAACTGAAAAGTAGCTGAAAAACCAGAGAGACATCTGTATGCTCTTTTATCTGTACGCCCTGGTCTTTCAGTTCCTCCCATCTCTGACTCCTGCTGTTCCCGTTCAGCGTTGGTGCCGGACAGCACACAGCCATGTTAGAAAGAGCCACGCAGTTGGGTATGGCACTTCCACTGCTTCTCTCTGCTGTCTGAGCCCAAGGGCGTGGGTAGTTAGTGCCAGATGTAAATGCTTAACTTCCCACCTTCTGGCAGCTGAGAAACACCATCCCATGGGAAAAGGAAGGCTGGAGAGGAAGGTGGGTGCTGTCATGTGGCTGCATTCCTGATCTTTATTACTGGGTTATCGTTGCTGAATAGAGAGTGTGGCCTCCCTCCATCAAGCGTGCTTATGCTTGGGGACACAAGTGACAGTGAAATGCTTCAGCCGCAAGATTATCTTGTCCTTTATGATTGGTGACACTGTAAGTGGCAGCATCCTGAGCTAACCTGAAAATAGCTGTTGACAGTCTTGTCGACATCACCTGTGAGCGCCTATGGACCAGGTTACCTTCCAAATCCAGACCTGCGACTGTCACTTGACTGAGATTTAATATGGATCAGCTCGGAATTGCCATTCTTTGCATAACTTGATGCATAAACCCATCCCACATGAGGCCAGAAACAGCTCATGAGAACGAGCAAACCTAAAAACTGGATCAAAAGCATCAAGCTAATTGCTGATGGAATATTTTTGCTTTTGGTGACACATGTGGTCAAACTTGTGTTTTCTAGCGAGTCATTTTTTATAATTTGTCAATATTAATTAATTTAACAAATTTTAGGCTGAAGGGGGTGGCTTTGAGAAGCTTTGTTTCAACGCTTTAAAATGGCATTTAACTATCTTAGAATACTTTGTTAGTAATAAGCACCACCATGAATTTTCTGATCTAGAGAAAATAGTTGTGGGGTTTGGGTTTTTTAATTACAGTGTCCTAGTTACTTTTAATCTGTAAAACTCTCCCAATGGGAACAGTTGCAGCCATGGAGCTCGGTGGTTGGTTGCCCATTCTGCAAATAAGACAGCAAACAGGCCTTAAGTGCATCTCTATTTCTTCACTACAGAGGCAGAATGAACTGTTCCTGCAATGAAAGGGCTGGGATAGCAGTAAAAAGTTATAAATAGATATTTTTCTTAATTTCTTTTTTTTCTTTAGCCTAATCTAAGGACGCTTATTTTCTGTTTCAGAGGGAGGAATCCACAGAATGATAAACCATGCGCTCTCAGTCAGATAATGCAGCTTTTCTTTCTTGTTCTTTCCTTCCTTTCTCAACTTAAAGCAATCTTCTGAATTGACCACTTGTCTGTTTAAAAGGCTAACTGTTAAAGTGATTCCTCCCATCAAACTTAGTTGCTCAGCAACAGTGGCAGTGGAGTTGGTGTCCCATCCTGAATGCTAAGGATGTGTTCAGAGACTTAGCCCCATCACTTATTCCTAGGGCGTGATTGCTCTGTCGACTGTTTTCAAGCAGAATATGTATTATTCATTGCAAGGTGCTGGCTTCTGCTGCTAAGTAGAAAAGGACAGCTGGATTTTTTTGCTGGTAAGCGAAATTATCTGTGAGATTGACAAGAAAAACAATGTTTCCCTTTTAAAGAAAAATATCTTGCTCTCTTTCAAAGTTTACAAGATATTTTTCCTAAGTAACCCATCTTTTGTAGCTCAATATATCTTGTCAAGACAACTGAGATGACAGAATCCTGCCTAAAGAAGGTGCATTCAGTCTGATGAGAGGGGGATTTGTCCCTATTCAAAAAAAAATTGTCTCTTTTGTTTAGGTAAAGATGCAGTGGGTAGGGACAGACGTGTCTGCATGCCACCACCTCGGGAAGGGGGAGAGCAGGCGATAGAAACATTGTCATTTCCTGACACAAAGAGGAATCCGGGGGCAGGAGCTGCCTTGCATACATCAACATACATGATCGGGAGGGCTAAAAGCAGTCATTTCCCTGTAAATGCTGTGAGAAAACAGCTTGTGGCTGCTCCCTGTGATGACATTTTTCTGCTGGCCCTGCCCCGATGCCCCATGTGGGCCAGTGAATCGCGTTGGCCCTGCTTCACCTCTTCTTCTGTGGTTCCCAAGAGCTGTCCCCTCTCCCAGGGAATGGGCAGCCCCTTTCCTGGTGCTCCAGTGTTTCCAGCAAACCCCCCTGACAGATCTGTTGCAGCTATGCTCTTCTCATAGCTGATTTGAGTCTCCACAGGCCTTTGATAGCCAGTTACTGGGCTCACTGCAAGGGAGGAGAGGGTTTGCATGTAAAAATCTGCTTTTCAGGGTTATGCATGTTAAGCTTTGTCTCTCTTTGCTGTAGGAAAGCTGTGGGATGTAAAAAGCACTTATAATTAGTGACTTTGTTTATTTTTTGTAGTTATTTAGTGTTACTTTTATCAATGTGACTTCTAGGATTGCTTGGTAGCATGAAAGTTTGGGGATTTCAGGTGCCGAAGTGAAAACCTGCTCATTTTTGTGCTCTGATGGCATATCTGATGTATGATACGTGTGTGTGTTTTATATATATATATATATATATATATATATATATATATCTAACATGCATATCAGACTTCTGATTTGTAGGAGGGAAACATGCATATAGGTTCTTCCTTGCAGGACTGTTCCTGAGAACAGGTTTGCATTGGGTTTTAGTGTTACAGCTGGTACTGGAACATCAGCAAAACCACCAAAAAAAAAAAAATGTAGAAAGCAACTTGGAAAGATCTAGCAGAGGATGCAGGTGTCAGTGAAGTGTTGGAATAGTTAACCTCAGCTGAGTTCTTATAAGAAATATTGGTTACTACCATAAAGCTTTCTGGAAAATGGTATCTGTGTGAACAGACAGATTTGGCGAGGGGAAAGGATGTCTTTTTGCTGAGTAGCATCCATCCATCCATCCCCAAATACTCACCTGCTGTTTCCTGCTCTGCTCGCTCTAAGCCTCGAGTGCTTCCTTGCCTGCCGTTGCTGTGTTCTGGTGCTGGATTCCTCAGGCCTGGCTTGTCCTGGCCTTTCCAGTAGCACGTGAGTGTCGCAGTAGGCACTGCTGAGTGTTGAAATTCATTCTGCAAAGCCTCTGAGGACCACGTGGTGCTCCCAAGCCAGCTCCAAATGAAATGGTAGAGTTGTTTTGTTATGGCTGGTTGTTTCTTGTTTTCTCCAGGAGGCATCAGACTGTGTTCTTCAAATCAGTAGCTCCTTAGCAGTCTGCTAAGCTGCACCTTGGTTTATGTTGCCCTTTCCCTTTCATTTGAATGGTGTAAGGCAGCCGGGAGATCAAGCCCCATAAAACCAGGCACGTACAAAGCAGGCAGGAATTTTTTCACCCCAGAAAATCTCTGCATCGGCATAGCAAATGAGCAGTCTGGTGTTCAAAAGCTCGTGAGGCTGTTTCAGGTTAATTGGAGGCTCTGCAGCCTCTTGTTCATTCTACTCATGTTCACCTGTGTTCTATATTTGTGGGTAGAATGGGTAGAAGAGCCATTTGAAATGTGACTTTTAAAGGCTTTTTTTTTTTTTTTTTTTGTTCCTTTTTCTAGGGGACTGGAGTTTTGGGAGTTGAAGTTCAGGAGCAGATCATTTCTTTACCGACAGGTACTGTTTGGTGCTGCCTTCAGCACATACTTTGCCTCCAAGAACCAGTATCTTTATTGCTTGAACTATTGACCAGTTTAGCAGCGTTGCATCCCCATGTAGCGCCATCTCTGTGGCAGAGCTGGTGTTACAGCTGTGTCACACACAGGGACAGAGAGGTGAGGTTCTGTATTTTTTGTTTGATCTGGTAGAACCAGAATTTCTCAACTTTGTGTCTAAAATGAATGGCCAAAGTCACAGAATTGTGTGGGAGGATGGAAAGTTTTGTTTTCCACAATCTTTGTCTTTGCAGTCTGAGTGGTAAAAACCAACAGACATATGTTCTTGCTCTGCTGAATGGCACTGGGCCCAGCAAAGACTGCCTGGAATTTTACTTTCTGGCTTTGGAGCATGAAGTAATTCTCAGTGTTGCACAAAGGAGAGATGGGAAGACCTGATTCAGCTATGCAGGCATGACTGCAGGATTTTTCCCTCTGCCATGCTGTCTAGTCTCCACTGGGTTTTCTTTGAAATAACTCCAGTGGGGTTTTTGCTGCTATCCTCAGGGGAGACAGCTCTCTCCACAACTTAATGGATCACCTCATTAGGAAAGAGTTGGCTGTTCTCATTCTGCCTATCCTGGCCATGGTCACACTCTGGAGACAGAGAATAGGCAAGAGAGGGCTTGTTTTTTGGAGGAGAGAGGGGGTGTTTTGTGGGAACAGCAAGCAGCTATTTTTTATTCTGTTTTGACAAACCAAATTTGTTTTTATCCTGTGCCAAGTAATGCTCTGTAAGCTCTCTGACAGTGGGTGTCTGGATATGAGCAAGGGAAGAACAACAACATGCTTGAGAAGGGCTTGATATACAGCAGGGGTTTGCTTCATCAGATGCTCTTGTGACACGGAGAAAATGCTGGTGACCCATTTAGTGCATTGGAACGGAAATGCTACTCGGTGATGCTGTGCAAGATGAAGAGTTACCCATAATATTCGGCCCAATGCCCTCTCTGCCTTGCAGTGAGCAGGCAGGCTGTGGTGGAGCAGGAACAGGCTGTACACGCTGAGCTTGTGCCCTTCTACCTGAGCATCTGCTTCTGCCCTCTATTGTAGAGAGGAGACTGGGCCAGCTGGCCCTCATATCTCACCTCGTATCCCTCTGTGATAGGTATTGACACTTTTTTATGAGAGAAAAGTGTTAAAACAGCCCCAGAAACTGTATGTGTATATTTTTGCTGAAGACCATGCAGAAGCGGGCAGACACCACGCACACGGCTCTTTTCAGATGGGCACCATCAGTCCACATTTACACTAGCTAACTCCCAGCGTGGAGACGTCAAAGCTAAAGTCACAGCATACAATGACCTCTAGTGAGGGATAGATAAAATAACACACGTCAGAGATCTGTGCTGCTTCTCTGTGCAGCTGCTCAAAGGCAGGCTCCTGGCACTCCGCAGGGCAGTTTAAGATCAGAGCACACAGGCAGAGACAGTGCTTGCCCTTGGATAAATATATCTTGCCTTGCTGGACCTGTCTCGTTAACGGTGATAAACATGATTAGGTTGCTTAGTGGACCTTGGTTTAGCCTTTTGTAAATGTTAATGGATCAGAAGCTCAGACCGATGCTTCGTCACAGCGCTACATTTACGTTTTTGGAGAGCTTGATGTGCTCTGAAAGGTCATTAATAGGATGAATGTTTATTTAGGCCGAATGGCTGATCATGCCTGTGCAAGTGGGAATGTGTTCTGGCAGCAGCCCGAGAAGGTGAATCAGGACAGTGTCTGCTTGACCAGTTTCCCTCATGTGGGCTGGTGCTGCTGTTGCCTGTAAAATCTGAGACTGGGGGATGGCTCTTCCAGTGTGGGCAGAGAGAGGAGCTGGGATTTGGTGGCAGTGGGGGACTCGCCACCAGCCCGTGGCAAGGGCTGAGTTTCAGTGTGGCTCCTGGGTCAGACAAGACTCGTGTTCCCCGAGGCAGTGTGAGCTCTCCTGTGCAAATGAGCACAGGCGAGCCCAAGCAAAGTGCTGGCAGGTTCTGGGAGGGGGCTCAGCTCTCGCCGGGCTGGACACTGCCAGCCTGGCTGAGTTCATTGTGTTGTGCTGTTTCTTTTCCCCTCAGAGAGGCATTTCTCATGATGGGGCTGCTCATACAGCCTTTCACTCCAGTGGCACTGGGACAGGGCCTGCCTTTCTTTGAGCTTTATTTCTTGTTGAACAGAAGCATGAAAAGGACTGCCCTTCTCTGTCTTCATCCTTTGTTTCCCTGAACCATCCCCAGATGTTTCTTGCACAAGCTTTTTTTTGATGCCCATGGGAAGCAGGTACTGCCTGTATGCTAGTCTCTCCAGGAGAACCTTGCTGGGAGTACTTCTGGCACAAGCTGTGGGGCTCTTACTGACCACTTCTTCCTCGACAGCAGCTTTGACATAAGAAATCCTGGGAAGATTAGTGGTCAGTACTCTGCCTTCAGAAGGATGACTTCAGCTCGGGGAACGGGGTGGAGAGAACCGTAGGCACCACTCAGGTGTGTAGTAGCTAGCTAGTCACAGGGAGCTGGCATTTGGTGAGCAGGTGGCACTGGCAGATACAAGTCTTGGCCCTCCTGAAACTGCGTGTCTTCAGGGGACACAGAAGGGTGTTTTTTTCACCAAGAGGATGCTGTGGTGTGAGGGGTGTTTATGCAGGAGGGTGAGCACTGTGGGGTGTGAAATTTGTGTGAAATCTAACCCACTAGACCTGGAATTGCTGCGTGTGGAGGGAGGGAAGGGAAGTTGGGACATGCAGAGGTGTTTGAAATACCAGTTTGCTGCACTGGGGGGATGCTGTCTGGTCTGGGGTCCTGTCCTATTTGGGTTTGTTTTCCTCTTTTTTTGGCTTTCTGAGAGAAGCAAGCCCTTACATCACCCCCCACCTGCAAACAGTGTTGCTTATATACTAAGAACCTGTGAGCTCAGCTCTCCCAGCAAGTGTGTGAGCTTCCTGCCACAGAGGGGTGTGTGGGTGCTGCTGCTGTTTCTGAAACCATCCCCTGCTCAGCTTTCTTCCCACACGTGATGAGAACAAGCCTTGCTCCAAGGCAGTGCTGTGTACCTGGAGATCACTGTTACAGGTCCCCTTCTCATAAATCTCTTTAGTTGTAAAGAGGGAAGACTTTTTGCTGGTTCTTTCCCCTTCCCTACCATCAGCTTTGGTCACTAGAAGATGCTGTGCCTCTGCACGTTGTGGACAGGCTTAGCTGCTGCGTGTTATTGTGTCACCCCAATCTGTGCAGAACCTGGGCAGGCCACGCAGTCCCCGCTGTGAGGGGAGGGAACACCTCTCCTCCACAGACTGGGGGGTGACTCTGACTGCTGGGGCCTGCTCAGGCTCTAAGGGAGTGTGATCTCTCTGAAGAAATAAAGCGAGCACTGGAAATGCTCCTGGAGGTGTGTGGTGCCAAAGGCATACGAGGGGCAGCCAGGACTGGGCCATGACTGGGGAAACTTCGGTGGCACCTAAAACAAGGGTCAAAACATTTGTTCTGTGGGAAAGTGCTTGTTTCTTTCTTAACACCCAGCTGGACTAGGAGCAAAGGGCATGGGCACAACTGACAGTACTAGGAACAGTAGAGGAACACCAAGTTGGGCTTCTGAGAACTGACTTTAATAATAACGATGTACCCATATTCAGGAGCAGGCTCATGTTAAGAAATCATGGTGATACCATTCCTTCCTGAGTGACAGGCACTGAACTCTCCCATCAGGTTTCTAGCTTTAGTAACTGTGGACTGTTAAACAGCACAGTACTGCTGATAGCACGAGTGCACGACTCCGGACAGAACTTCCTAATCTCTTTTAAGTTTTACAAGGGCAGCTCCTAAGCTGTGTTCTCTTTTTCCAGGTCCGAAGAATGGTTGGGGCTCTAGTTGCAGTTGGCCAGGGGAAGCTAACACCTCATCATATAAAGGAGTTACTGGAGAGGAAAGACTCACGGGCTTTTCCACCATCTGCCATGGCTCCGCCATCTGGACTCTTTCTAAAATCAGTGGAATATAATGAAGCAGGTAGGTGAACTCATTCTTTTTGTAGGAGGCAGATCTATTACTGATTACTGAAGGGAGCAGCAATGCCCGTGGTCCTCCTTTATGTGCTGTCTGACCTGGGGTTCACAACTTCGACACCCACATCATAGCGAACACCCTGGACTGTAGAGGTGTTTACAGCAGTTGCTGTGGAAAAAATATAATAGGAAGAAACCTACTAGAAAAAAAAACCCACACTTTTTTTTTTTTTTTTCTAATAGGTTTCCTTCTCTTACTTGCAGGGTAGTAAAAGACAAATTGTGTTGACAGTGATTTCGAGATTTCACGTGAAAGACACTTTAAATTCTCATCAACTCTTGTTCTGTCCCTGACCATGTATAAAGACCAAATGTTCTGTGGTATCTAGGTGCCACAGATCCATTTCTGCTCACTCCCTTCTCCTCTGGTATTTATGAGAGGACTGTACAGACTGGGGACAGAGACCAGATCATCCTTTTGTTTATGTGGTGGCTCTCTTCATTTAACAGCATCTGATCTAAACTATTTAAGTTGTTTTTTATCTTTTTCTGAAACGCTGGTGCCTGCGTCTCAAACAGGAGGAGGAAGGAGTGGGGCTTGGGTTTTTTGGGTTGTTTGGGTTTTTTTACTTCATTCTGTGGGGTGTGTGGGAGGGATAAAGGCTTAGAACAGAGGAGAATGTAGCATTTCCTCTCTGCCCCTCTCCCCTGTAACCCTGCCTTCCTGTGGTCGTGCAAGGGACAGCTCTTCCTGTTTGATGCATTGACTTAAAAAAACAGCCCTTGAAAGTCCTCACCGTTCCCTCTCCTCATCAGCGGTCACTCCCTGGCTGAGCTGCCGTGGTCTGTACCCTCTCCTGTTCCCTGGTACAAAGTCAGGGCTGGCGCTGGGCTCCGACCTGCTTGTTGCCACCTTCTGTTCTCCCAGGTGTTGGTGCAGTGGTGGCACAGAGCACGGTGCAGCCTGGCAGCGATCTGAGGCCATGGGAATCATGGTTTTGCCTGCTTGCCCAAGCAACAAAATACACACTGGGTAACTTGAGGGTGGTTTTTTTCTCATGAACAACACCAGAATGTCTGTCTGGTTTGGTTATAAAACGACTGTTAGAGTGCCAGGTTACAGGAAAGAGGATGGAAACCTTGACTTCTGAAGTTGACAGAAGAAACAACACCTGGATTAAACAGTGCCACAGTGGAAGCAATGTGCAGCTGAGGTGCCTGGTACCACCATAATTAATATCCCCTTTATCTGTGAGACGAAGTGCAGAATTTGAGACAGCCAGTTTGCCGGAGCAGACAGCCCACTTGATCTGGTAAGAGGATGCTCTTTGTTATGTGGCAATTCAAAGTGGTACAGACTGTAGCATTCAGATAAATAAAGGAAGAATCTTAATAACCTTGAGAGACCGGAGTTTCCAGTCTCTTGTTTGTGTAGTGGAGACCCACAAACTAGACAGCAGGGGAGGCAGCAGTTCCTTTTGCCCTCTCTCGGGGCCACCCTTGCCTTTGGCAGTGGGAGTTGAGTTAGTGGTACAGAACACCAGGACAGCCTGTTTCCAGGTGTCCCCTCACGAGAAGTGACCCACATCTTCCCTGCTCTGCTCCAGGTAGCAGTTTTGCCAGGGATCTACTTTAGAGAGCAGGGGAAGGAAAGGCCGAGATACTTCTGGCTGCTCCTCCCTTCCCTGGAGCACGCTGACTGCTACCTGCTTTATTCCGCAGGGACTGATACCCAAAGACAAGGACAGAACTTCAGAGCAGTCCTGGGTCTCTGCCATGGAAAAGGAGACTTGTGGCTGCTGTGGTGTTTGTGCTTTCCTGGCCCAGCCCTGATGTACAAGCACCCAGAGGTAGGGACGCTGTAATGTGCTGCCCTGAGCCCTCGACCCACGTGGTGGGGTTTGTCTGTCTGCGGGCCAAACCTTAACGTGCCCGGATGGTTCCAGACGGTGGTTTTCCTGGATGGGAATGGCAGCAAAGTGTTGCTCTTCCTCCCTTTGCAGGGAAGTGAGAGCGCAGCTGAAGGCCCATTTCAGTGTCCCAGCCTGAAGCTCTGGCACTGGGTTCCAGAGAGGCTGGTTTTGCTGGGCCTGGAGGGGCCCTGGGGTGCCCTTGAGCAGCAGGATCGTGCCTCCCTCACGCAGGGGGGACACACAGAGAGAACTAAAGCTTGCCCGAGTGCTGGCTGCTTGCTGTGCCCTCTCCCCAGTTCTTGTGGGGGCACACGAGCTCTGTCTCGATCTGGGCAACAGCTTTTCATCTCGGCTTCCTGTGGTTTTCCTCTGTAGAGCACCGTGGGAGCGCTCTGCGGTGTCTTGCAGGGCTCTGGTGTCAAAACCCTACGCAGAGGAGCTCGGCACTGACCTTGCAGCTGGGAGGGCTCTTTGGAGAGGCTGCAGCTCTCATCTGCACCTTCTGATGACCTGAGCTCTGGTAAGTTAATTTCCTAACTCAATTTATGATGAGTCTTTCCAGGGCAGAAAACTGAACCAAAGACTAATGCTGTTTGGGTGTTTATCAGGTTAACTGCTACTGCAGGCTCAGGTATCCCTGCTCTTTTTTTTTTGTTGTTTTTTTTTTTTTTTTTTTTTTTTTTTTTTTTTAAATAGTCACAGTGCAAAAATACCTGCTGTCGATGTTTCTGCAGGTATTTCCTAACTTCTGGTTACAATAAAAACTGATCATGTTTATGAGCTTGTTACCAAATCCGGTAAGCCAGGTTCAGCTGTCCAGCCTGTAACCTCGAGGCAGCCTGACTGCCTAACCCTGCTCTTACCACCAAGAACTGCTGTGGGGTTTTGCTTTGTTAAATCCCGGAGCAACTGTTAACAATAAAGACATTTAATTAAAGAACATGCTCTTAGCATCATAAACTGCACCATCAGTAGAGAACTTCTGTACAGACTCCTAGTCTGAATCATTTTGGTGATGTCCATCATTAATACCTGTTACTTATTACCAGGTGGTACTTAGCATTCTTTTCCTTTTTATATCGTTGCATCACTAATTCTTTTCAGTTGATCCAATTTGGACATCTAATCTATGGGGAGATCTGTCTTTCTGCTTGTTTGACAGTGATGCTTTAAAACTAAAACCAGAAAAACCTCACACCTGACCAGAGTTCAAAGGCTCAAGCCTGGTTTTATATGAACGCATTTCTAATAATTTAATGAACTCAAAATCCAGTGGAAACTTTGCTGTATGCTTTTATGTGATTTTTGTAGATCAAATAACTGTACAGAAAACAGAGCACCCCACAACCAAACAATAAAAAAAAAAAACAAACAACCAAAAAACCAAAAAGCCCCAACCCAAACACAAAACCCAACCCCGCAACAACCAGGGAAGCAAAGCTGACTTTAGAATTTGATCAGTCTCCATACTTCTAAAATGGTAGACAAGTAAATGGTACGTTATTGTAAGAGATGAAAGTGGCTACATGCTTGGAAAATATGTGTTCAGATGTAGACTGTCAGTTCTGTTATTCTCACAGGAAATGGAAATGTTTTCAGACAGGTTGAGGTACACGGTGGGGTCCTGCAGTGCAGATGTAACCGTTTGGGACTGGGTGGAAGACACTTGTAAAAGATTTGTAAAATACTCCATGTCAGCGATTTATTATTCACCCTGCCCCTTCTGCTGCTCCTTACTTCGGGTGTAGTTCAGCTAAATGGGTGTTTGCTCCTTGCTGGGCTGTGCCTGGGGGTGGGAGCGCTGGTGGGCACACGCGGCTCTGCCCAGTGTCACCAGTCACCTCCCAGCACTCGAGGGACTGATGGTGCCACCGTCCCCTCCACGGACAGGAGACAGAGTGTGGGATCCTGGGGGATTCGGTGAGGCTGCAGGCGCTGAAAGGAAACGGGGTTAGTGCAGTACCGCGGGGCAAGCAACTTCTGTGCCCTCACGGGGCTCGTAACCGTCCCTCCGGGGCGCGGGTGGAGTGGGTTTTAGGCAGAACCAGACAGAAACTCGTGTCTGGCTTCTGCAGCCTTGGGACAAGGGAGGTGCTGGTTGGAAAAGTTGGTTTTGATGGTGCCTTTACCTGATGGTGCCTAGAGATGTGCTCGCTGTGCTCACCTGGGCAGCAGCAGTAGCTGGTCAGTCCCTGCCTGCCTGGCCCCGGTTACAGCCCTGTGCTTTGAACCTAGAAAAGACATTCTGTGGCTCTCCCCTGGAAAAACTCTGGGATAAAGGTTGTTTCAAGTCTTGTGCTGCTTCAAGTTGTGGCTTAGCCAGGCCTGGTTTAGTATTCATTTTCCTGTGTGCATACAAGCCTTTGCTGTTAGGTGAAGCAGGTACGTATGTTTGCCTACTTAAAGTGAAACTTTTTTTTTTTTTTTTCTGATCTTCCAGTTATCGAGTGCTTTTGACTTAATAAGATAAACAACTATCGGGAGGAAGTGTGATTTTCAGAGTTTCCTTCGGAAAGTACCCAACAACCTTTGTATTTTTGTGCTTTCAATGGCCCAGCTTAAGGTACCTTGTGCATATTGTAGCTGGGTTTAATCCTCCACTGCCTTTAAGGGCTTCTGCTTAGGTGTCTGGGTTTGGCTTAGTGACTCAGATTTCTTTTATAATTGATGGAGAGAAGCTGCACTGGTGGAAAGCGGTTTATTGCCTACGTGACGGGTGACCTAAATGAGAAGAGTCCTACTTGCACAGAGCCTCTTTCCTGCATTTCAAACACAAAATCGAGTCCTTTAGGCTCCCTTTGTAACCGAGTGGTGGTTTCCCTCTGCAGTGTGTCTGCAGAGCAGATTTGGGGTGCTGTAAAGTCACCCAAGAGCTTACACCGAGCCTGGCTCAGTGTCACCTGAGGTTATGAAAGCAGGTGGGAGGATGGAAAAGCCTCTGTGTGTGTGTGCGAGTGACTGTTCCGAGACCCAGCACATCACATCCGAGGTGCTGAACCTTCTGTTTACTGTTGTTACAGCTGTATTGTGCGTACTACAGCATGTAGCTACTACACCGTGTAACACGCTGCTGACGGCCCCCCCTAAATGGAGGGGGTGGTGCTGCTGCTCCATGACTTCACCAATGGCTTAGTACAGATGCCAACTACCTGTTTCAGTTCTCTGCTTCAAATACCGTTTCTGCACTTTAACAGGACAGTTGCACACATGCTCTTTACAAAACTGCAGCAGCAAGGTTAAAAGGGTTCAAGTCATCAGCCGCTGGCTTATCTGTCGCGCTGGAGTCACTAAAAATGTCCTGCTTGTGCTTTTGCCACTACAGCTTTTCTTGTTCCTGGGAAGCCTGCGCAGGCGCTCGCTGCAGCGCTTTCAACACCAGAGTAACGTCACACGAGTCTCAGCAATGATAGAGGAGTTCTGTCAGGGCTTAGGAATGGGGCACGAGTTACGGGCCCTCCAAAGGTGCATCCCTGCCACAGTTCTGTACTGCTCCCGCTGCTGGCCCAGCCTTAGCCAAAGCTACAGCCCTTCTCTGGGGCTTTTTTTTTTGGGGGGGAGTGAGGGGAATTGTGCTGCTATTTCAGTACTGTCACCTTGTGATGAGTTTAATGCCAGTAAATATCACCTGCCATGTAAACTCCAAATGCTTGTGGTCTAAGTGATTTATTCTCCCTTACAGCAACACCCCTTTCCATCTGACTGTACCAAGCACAGACTCCCGCCCGAACCACAGACATCACCAGACCCGACAGCAGCTGTAGCACCGACCCCCGTGAGATGAAATAAACCTCCTGAGGTAAGGGATGGCTTAAGACTTTGATCCCGTTGCCGGCTACCCCTGCGCTCCAGCAGAAATCATGGCAGGTAGTGCCTGGGCTGAAGGAGTCTCCAACGAGACGGCGGCCAACGGCAGCTCAGAGCTCAGCCTGGAAGCAGACTTCCAGTATTCCTTGTTCCCGGTCATCTACAGCATCGTCTTCGTGCTGGGGCTGGTGGAGAACCTCGCAGCTCTGTACCTGCTCTCCTGCAGAGTCAAGCACGTGTCTCATTCCTACGTGTACATGATTAACCTGGCTCTGGCAGACGTCCTGTTCGTTTGCGTCTTGCCATTTAAAATTCATTACCACCTGAACCAGAACAACTGGCTCTTTGGGGACATGGCCTGCAGGGTAACCGGGACTCTCTACTACATCAACATCTGCCTCAGCATTGCCTTTTTCACCTGTATTTGTGTGGACCGCTACATCGCGGTGCTGCACCCCTTCACCTACATCCAGATCCGGGTCGGCCACTACGTGGGGGTGGTGGCTGTCCTGTGGGTGGCTGCTCTGAGCGTGGCAGTTCCGCTCATCCTCGGGGGTCCCCTCCACAACAGCGGTGCGAGGAACACGGTAGCGTGTTTTGAGAACTTCACTACCACGAGCTGGACTTCCCGCATGGCGCCTTATAACATCCTGGCCTTGGTTTTTGGGTTTGTGATCCCGTTTTCCATCATTCTCATCAGCTACCCTCTCATCGCCAGGAGGATTTCCCGGGTCAAACGCAGCATTCGCAGGAGGAAGGCTCTGAGCACCATCTACCTCATCCTGGTCATCTGCACTCTGTGCTTTCTCCCCTATCATCTCACTCACTTGCTCTACTTTTTAATGAGAACCCAGGTCATCCAGAACGAGTCCTTCACCAACTTGATCTACAAACTGCGCAGGGTCACCTTGGCCCTCGTGAGCTTCAACTGTTGCCTTAACCCTCTCCTGTACTACTTCACCTCTTCCGACAAGCAGTGGCACTTCAACTTCAGGTTCAGATTCAGGTCTAAAACAGTGTTCACCATCTCCGACCAGAAATTCGGGGAATCCTCCTATGTGTACAAACTACACCAGCGAGACGGAAATAAAAATCCTAGAGATGGAATCAACAGATCGACCTAAAGTAAGTACAGTATTCATCTTCCCAACTGTTTCTTTGAAAACAAACCTGTGAAACCTACTATTCTTTTGTACAGTGGCTGTTAGATCAAGGCTGGAGGGAAACACCTCACAGGTACTTACTATTATTCTCATCTAGGACAGTCTCCTGGTGGCACACGTCGTGTTCGTGTACCTGATGTCTTGGGCTCCCCGTGTTTCACCCTGGGCTGGGCAGGGGCACGCAGGGCTCTCTGGAGCACAGTACAGCCCAGGGAAGAGTTACTGGAAAGAAACCAGCCTCCTGCTGGCCACCGAGGCTGAAAGCAGAGCGGCTCAGCGCTGTCCTGCTTGGCTTTTCCCTATTTTGGCAGGATTTTGTGTGTTCTCCCTGGGGGGGGGCCACACTGGAGCCAGCTGGGGTCACAAACTGCTTTCTGCCTCCATTCCACGGCCAAATAAGGGCCTCTCAGCCCCTGGGGAGCCGCTGCCCCGCTTCCCGAGGAGTTTTCAGCACAGGGTTTCCAGCTCCAGTTTCTGTGGACCGGAGCTGGATATTAGTGCAAACGCAGAGACCAGCCCCAAGGATTTATCCAAAATTAACCCTGTGGTGGAGCAGCAGGCAGCCAGGGAAGGTGCTGCCAGTGCAACCCCTTCCACTCTGCGGCTCTGTTCCAGTATCAGAGCTCTCTTGTCGGTCACATTTTGTGATAGAAACACAATATCTGACCCATTTCACCCTTTTTCTTGTATTAACAGAGCCACACCGCTTCCGAAAACCGCCAGGTTCTCCACCCTGTGGAACGTGAGACTTTGGAGAATATTTATCACTTGTGGGTTATCAGAGTCACCAGCACAGCACCGGCCTGGCTGAAAAACCTGCTCTGCTTTAGTTAAGAGGATTTGATTTTTGGTAACACATACACAGACTCACTGTTCAGTTCCTCCCCACGCCACCCCCCCAAACTTTATAAAGTGCAGATACACAAGGTCGGGGGCTTGTTTACCAGGGAAGGGGTTATCCCCATCCCAGCAACGCGCTGCAGCAGCACTGCTGGTGCCAGGTGACCAAAACACAGGTGAAAGGCACACCTGGACCTGGCCCACTGCGGCAGGGGTTGGGTTATGCTGTCACTGGACTTGGACCAAGAACTGCCCCAGGCCTTAAAGGAGGGAAGGAGGAGGATTATTGTGGCGGAACAGTGTGGGGGGAGAAATAATTGTGTGTCTCCGATGTAGCAGCTTCTCTTTGCACAACGATGGACGTTGCAGCTTCTGCTTGTATTCAGCCAATTTTGTGACAGTTTTCTGACAGCAGCCAATGCCACGGGGATTGGAAAAGCAGCAGCGTAGGTGCACGTTGGGGTCTTGGTTTGTGGATTACGATGGCAAACAGGGTCTGTACTGTGGAGTTACAGCCCACCCAAACCCTCCAGCCAGCCGAGCTGTACACAGCAAGCACGGAGCCAAGGCTGTAGGAGAGGGCAGCGCTGCGCTTGCTCCGAGGGGCCTCGCGTTCATCAGTCACTGCTACACGCAGCTTGAGTCGTGCCCCCGACCCCTCCCCTGCTGCACTTTGCTTTTAGCTTGGAGGAATTTTTAAATACCGGTAAGATAACCTGCACAGACTTTTCTAAAATATTGAAAAGGATGGTAATTCCTGTCTTCCTCTGCTTGCCTGGGCTTGGTAAGCCAAGTGCAAATCCTTGCACTTGTAAAATGGAGATGAGGAGAGCCTCTGAGGGGGTAGTAGGACAAATTAATCTTTTACCTTCCATGAGAGACTGCTATTTTTGTCCCTTTATAGGGTATGGAAAAAACTCCCAGCACTGGAGGGACTGTTATTTCCAACTAAGCACAATTTTTTTTATGTTCTGGACAAAGACAAATTTTTCTTAGAGACTCCATCCAGGAGTGCAGGTTTCTTGCAGCCTCCTCAGCTGTCACCGAGGGCAGATGGATAATTAAAGGTGTTACACTGCTGGTAAATAGCTCGCTTAGGGCTTTATACTCTTGCCTCCGTTATGCTTTGCATATTCATTGTGAGGCTTTGAAAGCTCCTTGTTTCACTCAGGTTTTTAAGGGCAACGAGCTGGGGGAGGGCAGGAATGACAAATCTCCTTTACCTTACTGGGTACCCAAGAGCAAGCTTCTCCCTCCGGAGGCTTTTCCAAAGGGGCTGCACTGACTCCTGGGGCAGGTTTCTGAGGGGGGAGGCCATGGTACTGTTGAGGGGAACACACGGTCACTGCAGCAACTGAAAAAACACTCTAATTCCTTTGTTGAAACAAACCCAGAAAAACAGGCGAACAATGTAAACAAAATAAAATAGAAATCTCTCTCTCGTGCCACGGTGCGCGCTGCTCTGTTGCTCACGCTGTGCTCGGGGGCAGCCCTTTCTTCAGAAGGGATGTGAGATAGCTGCCCAGCTCTTCGTCCTAGAGAGAATAGAGAGAAAGAGGAAGAAAGCAATCTGCTACTTGACTTTCCCATTTGTGGCAGTAAATTTGATTCTGGTACCTAGAGACTGAAGTAATTCCCAGCAAAATCTAATGTTAGCAGGGTTCAAAAGGGGAAGCTAATCCAGCTCACACAAATGCATTTCAAAATATCAGTGTAAAACTCCCACTTCTCAAAGTAGGTGTCTGAACTCGAGGTGTCTCTTTTGAGGAAAATAACTTTTTCTCTAAAGCAAAGAACCATTGAATTTTTTTCTTTTTTTTTTTTTTCTGCTTTGCCCTCAAGAAGGCATTTCCTTGCTGTAAAGAAAGCAGTTCAGTATACTTTTGAAAGGAAAAAACCATCATGGCTGTCTAATCTTACCAATATTTTGTGTTGGCTAGCTTGCTGCTTGTTTGAATTTTTACACCTAACAAATGCGATCTAAAACACCTCCACGCTGCCTGGCAGCAGTGATACACTTGAGAGGTTAGAAGCTGGATACTACAGCGTCCTCAAAACACACACATAATTGTAATTAACTGTATTAAGTGTAATTACTCCACATCAGTTGCTCAGTGGTCTCAGAGAAAACTTGACTCAGCAGAGCTTCTGTAAAATGGTTTGTACTCAACCTGAAATGGTACAGAAATGGCAGCGACTCCCCTCGTCATCTTCCAGTCAAACTCCTTCAAAACCAGAGCGATGAAAACTCACCCCCGGTAGGACGGTCCTGGGCCGCCAGGAGTTTGATCAGTGGTTTGGGAAGTCTGTCCAGTATTCCTACCTGGTAGGTCCAGGATACGAGCAAGACTTTGGTGCCTTGATCCTCCGAGTGTGCCGTGGCTTGGATGAGGATGGACTCGACCGTTATAGAACCATCTGGGAGATGCTGCACTGAATAATCTTTCAGGACCCTGGAAAGAGAGAAGATACAGGATTTGTGTTGGATGGGACGTGGGGACAAGCTGAAGGTGGGTCAGGCCCTGTATCTGGGAGCCCCAACCCCACTGTTACTACTTTTGGCTGTGTCTGAGCCAGCACCCACTGCCCAGGGAAGGGAGAAAGGGGCCGATCTTGGTGCTTGTGTTAATCATGTAGGATTTCTTTCTGGGTTTCACGATAGCTGTAGCTCCAGTCTGAACCCTACTCATCCCATCTCAGCACAGAACTACTCACAGAATCCACCTGTGGAATAAAACAGCTTTAGAGATTCAGCTGCTGCAGCTTCTGAATTGCTCTGAGGCCTCCTGGGCCTCTGCTTGATGGTCTCGCTCCTGTACTCACAACTAAAACTGTCATAATAACAACTGTGCGACAACTAGCAGCTGCTGGCACAGCAGCAAAGCAACAGAAGGAAGGTTTCAGGTGGACACTCAAGCCTGGCAAAGACCAGAGCTTGTTTGCTACCACAGCACAACCCCTGCTCTGGTGATGGTGGTTAAATCTGGAGCCGTTGTGCCTCTGGGCTGCCTCTAAACTCTGTGGGGCTGGACTGGAAGGCTGGAAAGGAGGAAGCACTTGTGCTGCCTCTGCTGAGAACGAGCTCAAGTCCATCCCACGGGGGGCAGAACCACAGCCAGGGAGGAGCAGACGGACCCTTTGAGGTGGTTATAGACACGAAGCACCGTCTCGTGTTCCTTCCGCGGGTCCTGGATGTGAACGCGGCAGGTGAAACGCAGCTGGTGCTCTGCAAGGCCCAGCTCCTTCAGCGCCTGCTCGGGCGAGACCAGGCGGAAGCTCTGCAGAAGAAAAGTACAAAGCCATTATAAACCATTTCTGAAGTTGCATTCCTCCTCGTGGTCGGCTGCACACGGGTACGTGTCCATCCCTGCAGAACTCCAGCAGGTAAGATTGTTCCTTTTCACCTCTGGACGCTTCAGTTACTCCTGCAAGCAGCAACAGCCAGGGATGGGCAGTGAACGTAGGGGCAGGACTGAGGCAAAACATCCACCTAAATCATAACAATTCTTTACTGCCCCAAATTGAAGTTGTTCTCTGCACGGAAGTTGGTTTAACCTCTTTATCAGGGGAATGAGAACTCCTCCCTTGACACCTTTCCCTCCTTGTCCAACAGACCAAGGTTCTGCCACCAGGCTGCTGGTTTTGATTTTTACAGGCACAGCGAAGCAGAAACCCCGTGGATCCACAGGCTGAAAACCAGAGTCTCCTCAGAACGGCTGCAGCTGCCCACAGCAGGTTGCAGGGGGCCAGGGCAAACAACAGCCTTGAACAGAACCACCTCTTCAAATTTATCCATTCCCTGCGACCTCAGCCTTGGGCATTCATGAGACAGACTAGGAAAAATTCCACGCCCACACCACCCTGCTCACGAACACAAGCTATAAACTCTGAAGTTGTGGGACTAGTGGAGACTGTCAGTCAAGACAACTGACAAGCTACAGAGTTTGTCTTACAGATAAATCTTCCCAGATACAGCGTTACTGGGCTCCTTCCAAGAAACCAGGATGCTTCTCTTCGGTTTAGTTCCTGTTCACCCAGAACTCATGTATGACTGACGACACCCCTTGTACAGAGGACACAAGACAAACATTAAGAACTTTTTTACTTACATTATCCTTCATAATTAACGTGCCGTGCATTAGCTTTGGCTTCTTGACATCTGGTGCGAGACCTAAACCAAGGCCAAGGGAAGAGAAAAATTAATGAGGGTATGCTTGCTTCTCACACAAGGCAACTGCTATAGGACTTCATAAATTGCATTTCTGAGTCCCTGCTGGGGTTCAGAGACGGATTTTAAATCTCTGTTCTGCCCATTAAAGCGCATGGTGCTTAACCCACCATCAGAACTCTAGACGTGTAAGAAACCATGCTTGGGAATACAGAACGACTGCCTCTCTTCCCATATCGCTTCCTGATTTAAGAGGTTTTAGGTTTAAAACTGGTTTTATAGAAGCAATTCCAGTTTGCAGACCTAGCTAGTAAAAGCATACGTGGATTTTGTTTCCATAGTGAATGGGCAACGAGTAGCAAAGCAGCGAGTGTGTGTGTGTATGTTTTTAAACGTGACTGAACACACGTTGACAGGAAGACGTCTCAGCCACTTAAGGCTGATAAAACCTGTCCCTTTCCGGGAAGCACAGCTGGAAGTCACCGTTTCCACCTCCTACAAGTCCTGTACCGCAAGCGGCAGGGCCCAACAGCTGGAATTTCTGGGTGAAAGGCTGTCACCTATGGCGGTTTCTCTCTTGAGGAGGCCCAGGGAGATGTCCACGGGGATGCTGGGGTTGGTGAATATCGTGGTGGTCTCTCCGTTTGCAGGCATGTAACAGCTGACATCTGCAACAACAACCACGGTCAGGAGCAGCGAGAGAGGGTTAAACAGCAACTGCTGAACTAACAGCAGGGCTTTGGCAGAGCCCGCAAAGCACAACTGCTGCTGGGAGGGGAGGGGACAACCTCACCAGAGCCACCACAGCCCCAGCGGGCAGCACCTGGCTGGCCTTAACTCCGTGTGAGGGGGAAAACGGTGAGATGGCAACAAAACTGTCCCCACTCTTATAAACTACTGCAAAGAAATCTGCAGACAGTAAGTGGCCAGTCTCTCTCCTCTCATCCTTTAAGAGTCAGCTGTTTCCAAAGAATTAATTATTTTTTTGGCTGGAGCTCATTCCCCTGAACTGAAGTTGCTAAGTTATAATTTCAGATGTACCTCACCTGCCTTAACTTCTTCTAGGAGTCTGAAGAAATATAAATTCAGTAAGTGCTGAATTACAACAATACAAACATAACAAACCCAACTTTTACTTCAAGCCCAAACAGGGATTAAAATTAAATAGGCTAAACATGTTGAGTTACAGAGAGTAGTCTCTTGAGGGTGACCAGTCCTGTAAATTTGGCCATGCCTAACTCTGTGCCGAGGTCCCACAGAATAAGTAGGTGACCTTTAATACCCTCCCTCCACTGCCATTCCCCCTCAGCACCAGCACGATACGTACGAAATTCCTGTTCTATTTTCTGCTTCAGAAACTCCATTTTTTTTGCTTCCCCGTGGACCAGGAGAACATTTCGTGGCTCAGCCTGGCGAATGAGCTGCATTATGCCCTTGGCATCCGCGTGGGCGCTGAAGGACATGTACTCCACCTGCATCTTCACTTCCAGCTGGGGAGGAGCAGAAAGCACAGGCTTTGTGACTCAGGGAATGCTTTGGCCACGCGCAGACAAGAGCCAAACTGCCCTGTGTTTAGTTTTCCAGAAGCAGCACAACCCCTCTGCTGGAAAATGAGGCTGCGGGGAGCCACTTATCCACAGAGACTGAACACGATGCTGTACAGAAACTAACTCGCACGATCAAACTGCCAACTGCAGAGCACAATACTCATCACACATTTGCCAAAACGCCACATCAATACTTTGCTGGTATCAGTTTTTTAATATCCCTGTCTGATATGATAAAAATGGTAAAAATGCATCATTTTTACCTATCTAACAGGGTCTAGTTATTAAACATTATAAATATACCCCAACAAAGTCTTACAGCAGAAAAAGACACACCATTGCTAACACAAAGGGGGAAAAGAAACCTCACCTAGTCCCACTCCAAAGAAAACATGACTTGGGTATTTTCAATGTTGTACGTGGCACATTCCCATTAGAAGTACGTGGTGTCTAACTACCAGCTAAAATTCTGAAGAACTTCTCCCAAATGAGCCTACTTGAAAATAAAACTTACTATT